TGCTTTGATTTATGTCATCGAGCATTCTGCCTATGTTTTCCTCTAAGAGTTTTATAGTTTCTGGTCTTCCATTTAGGTCTTTAATCCATTTTGAGTTTATTTTTGTGTATGGTATTAGGAAGTGTTCTGATTTCATTCTTTTACGTGTAGCTGTCCAGTTTTCCCAGCACCAATTATTGAAGAGGCTATCTTTGCCCCATTGTATATTCTTGCCTCCTTTGTCAAAAATAAGGTACCCATAGGTGCATGGGTTTATTTCTGGGTTTTCTATCGTGTTCTATTGGTCTATATTTCTGTTTTTGTGCCAGTACCATACTGTAGCTTTGTAGTATAATCTGAAGCCAGTAAGGTGATTCCTCCAGCTCCCTTCTTCTTTCTCAAGGCTGCTTTGGCTATTCAGGGTCTTTTGTGTTTCCATATGAATTGTGAAGCTTTTTTTTCTAGTTCTGTGAAAAATGTCATTGGTAATTTGATAGGGATCACACTGAATCTGTAGATTGCATTTGGTAATATAGCCATTTTCACAATATTGATTCTTCCTACCCAGGAACATGGAATATCTCTCCATCTGTTTATGTCGTCTTTGATTTCTTTCATCAGTGTCTTATAATTTTCTGTGTACAGTTCTTTTGTCTTATTAGGTAAGTTTATTCCTAGATATTTAATTCTTTTTGTTGCATTGGTGAATGGTATTGATTCCTTAATTGCTCTTTCTGATTTTTCATTGTTAGTATATGGAAATGCAAGTGATTTCTGTGTGTTGATTTTGTATCCTGCAACCTTGCTAAATTCACTGATTAGCTCTAGTAATTTTCTGATACTATCTTTAGGGTTTTCTATATACAGGAGCATGTCATTTGCAAACAGAGAGAGCTTTACTTCTTTTCTGATCTGGGTTTCTTTTATTTCTTTTTCTTCTCTGATTGCTGTAGCTAGGACTTTCAGAACTATGTTGAATAATAGTGGTGAAAGTGGACACCCTTATCTTGTTCCTTATTTTAGGGGATATACTTTCCATTTTTCACAGCTGAGAATAATGTTTGCTGTAGGCTTATCATATATGACCTTTACTATGTTGAGGTAGGTTCCTATGCTCATTTCTTGAAGAGTTTTAATCATAAATGGGTGCTGAATTTTGTCAGAGGTTTTTTCTGCATCTATTGAGATTATCATATGGTTTTTATCTTTTAATTTGTTAATATGGTGTATCACATTGATTGATTTGTGTATATTGAAGAATCCTTGCATCCCTGGAATAATCCCAACTTGATCATGGTGTACTAACTTTTTGATGTGTTGCTGAATTCTGTTTGCTAAAATTTTGTTGAGCATTTTTGCATCTATGTTCATCAATGATATTGGCCTGTAGTTTTCTTTTTTGTGTGTTGTCTTGTCTGGTTTTGGTAGCAGGCTGCTGGTGGCCTCGTAGAATGAGTTTGGAAGTGTTCCTTTCTCTGCAATTTTTTGAAAGAGTTTTAGAAGGACGACATTAGCTCTTCTCTAAATGTTTGATCGAATTCTCCTGTGAAGCCATCTGGTCCTGGGCTTTTGTTTTTTGGGAGATTTTTGATCATAGCTTCAATTTCAGTGCTTGTAATTGGGTTGTTCATAATTTCTATTTCTTCCTGGTTCACTCTTGGAAGATCCAACTTTTCTAAGAATCTGTCCATTTCTTCCAGGTTATCCATTTTATTGCCATATAGTTGTTCATAATAGACTCTTATAATCCTTTGTATTTCTGCATTGTCTGTTACAACCTCTCCTTTTTCATTTCTAATTTTGTTGATTTGATTCTTCTGTCTCTATTTCTTGATGAGTCTGGCTAAATAAAGGTTTGTCGATTTTGTTTATCTTCTCGAAGAACCAGCTTTTAGTTTTATTAACCTTTACTATTGTTTCTTTCATTTCTTTTTCACTTATTTCTGCCCTGATCTTCATGATTTCTTTCCTTTTGCTAATTTTGGGGTTTTTTTGTTTTTGTTTTTCCAGTTGTTTTAGGTGTGAAGTTAGGTTGTCTATTCAATGTTTTTCTTAATTGTGCTTTCTATATATTTTGGATATTAATCCCTTGTTGCATCATTGGCAAATATTTCCTCCCATTTCAAGGTGTGTTTTCATTTTGTTGATGGTTTCCAGTTCTCTGCATTGCTTTCTTTTTTTGCTTTGGGAGAGTGATCCAAGAAAGTACTACTGATTTATGAGAGTGTTTCACCTGTGTTCTTGTCTAATTTTATGGTTTCATGTCTTACATTTAGGTGTTATAACTGTTTTGAGTTTATTTTTGTATATCATGTGAGGGAATCTTCTAATCTCACTGTTTTACACATTGATGTCCTGCTTTCCCAGCACTACTTGTTGAGAATACTGTCTCTTGTCCAATGTGTATTCTTGGCTCCTTTCTCACAGATTGGTTGTAGGTGTGTGGGTTTATTTCTGGCTTCTCTGTTCTGTTAATCTAAGTGTTTGTTTTTTGTGCCAGTACCATGCTCTTTTGATTACTATAGCTTTGTAGGATAGTCTGAAGTCTGGGAGAGTTACACCTTCAGTGTTCTTTTTTCTCAGGATTGTTTTGGCTATATGGGATCTTTTGTAGTCCCATATAAATTTTTGGACTATGTGTTCAGGTTCTGTGGAAAATGTCCCTGGGTGTTTTGTTAGGAATTGCATTAAGTCTGTAGATTGCTTTGAGTAATATCGCCATTTAAATAATAATGAGTCTTCCGATCTAAAAGCATGGGATATCATTCCATTTCTTCAGAATCATCTTCATTTTCCTTCATCAATATTTTATAGTTTTCAGCTTGTAGGCCTTTCACCCTCTTGATTAAGTTTATGCCTAGATATTTTACTTCATGTGATTTTAAATGGGATTTTTTTTTCACTTTCTTTTTCTGATATTTCATTATTAGTATATAGAAACATTTTACATTATTACATTAATCTTGCATCCTGCAACCTTGCCA